GAGAGAGAGAGAGAGAGAGAGAGAGAGAGAGAGAGAGAGAGAGAGAGAGAGAGAGAGAGAGAGAGAGAGAGAGGGCGGGGCGGGGAGTGGGTGAAGAGGTGTGAAGATACTCAGAAATTGTTAACCAACTTCGTCTCCTATGGATGGAACGAGTTCCGCGAGTCTCTCTTTTTTTGTTTTTTTTGTGAGTCTCTCCTTTTGTTAATAGTAATTTTTGCGAGTCTTTATTTCTCGTTAGTGAGTGTGATGATAGTTGTACCGCCTTTTCACGTGATTGGAACGCCCTGTCATTACAGAGCTGTATTTAGGGCAACTTTCAGTCTAGATGTAGTGATAATCACTGCATGTTCCACCGGGTGAAGACTAGTGCTTGATGACCCAATGAATGTGATTCCTTCATCTCGCTGATGTAAGTTGGATGTAAAATATTTCGACGTATATAAGGAAGAAGATAAAAAACTGAATTCATTTTTTCCTCTTTTTCTTCCTTTTTTTTTTTTTTTTTTTCCGCATTTGAGCTCTGATATTTTTGTGTATATATATATCGTCAAACAGAGCTGCCTACGGTAAACCGTAGGCAGAGAGGGAGAAGAGGAAGAGGGAGAAGAGGACAAGAAACGAGGGAGGGGCTGTGACAAACTGTTTCGTCGGCGGAGTTTCACTGACTGACTCGTCATCAGGAGGAGGAGGCTGAACGCTCAAAAACAGTCTGCAGAATCCCCTAACTGACTGATTACACTGTAAGAGATAATGCACCTTAATCCCGGATTTGGTTAAGCATCACCGACTGCCCGACCAACTGCCACCCCTCTGAGGTGGTGGGGACCACCATTCACTGCCCTCGAGGTACCTGCGACGAAAATCAAAGCAGACTATCACTCACAACACACAGATGGAAAACTCTATAGACTGTCGGTGCACACACCATCACAAGCCAGCAAAAACATATATCTTATATGTATATGTGTATACATCAGTAAAATATATTATATATATTACCAGTATACTTTTATGCATGTATATGCTAGGCGAACATCCGGGCCGCCCGGGTCACCTTGGTTTGCCAGGCTGCCCGGCCGTACAAGGACCCACGAGAGTTCCCAGCAAGAAAAAAAAAATTCCAATAAATCCGAATAAAAACGATGGTATGCAGTAAAAAAATTAAACAATAAGTTTCGCCTCAGGGTTACAGCGAAATTCTTTACCAAATTTAAAATAAAAATAAAAAATATATTTGTTCTTAACTTCTTGTCCTCTTCTCTTCCTCTCTGCCTACGGTTTACCGGGCAGCTCTGTTTGACGATATATCAAGAAATAAAAATGAATTCATATATTTTTTCCTTGTTTTCTTTCTTTCTCTTTTTTTTTCGCTTTTGCACTCTGATATTCTTGTCATTTTTTCCTGTTTTTCTTTCTTTCTTTCTTTTTTTCTGTTTTTCGCTTTTGCGCTCTGATATTCTTGTGACAGTATATATTTTTTTATTTTTATTTTTATTTTTATTTTGTTATTTTGTTTTGGCCCGGCCGGGCAAGTGGTCCCGCGCCTCTCTGGTATCCTAGTGTATATATTGTCACAAGATTATCAGAGCGCAAATGCGAACAAAAAGGAAAAAAGCAAGAAAAACAGGAAAAAAATGAATTCAGTTTTTTATCTTCTTCCTTATAACTCCCCCTGTTCAGAACCTCTTGCGTACAAGGCCGCCCACGTGGATGTAGGTTGAGCGGCGGCTGCCCCCACCCCCGTGTGTCATATCGACCCACTTGCACGCAGCCAAAAGGCAAAGAGGCAAAGAATAGAGGAAGGGAACAGCCAAATAAAACAGACAGAACAGGGGGCAACAAAACAGATCCCAGATGACAAGTCGCACATGCAAGCACCGCCCCAGCACACACAGTCCAAACGATATATGTCTATATGTTCCTTATGTATACACGTAGTATTCGAATGAATACGGTAGTTCTACATGAGCGTCCGCAGCCGGCAGCTATGGTAGCAGCAGCTATGGAGACTATGGAGACTGTAACAACTATGGTAGTGGTAGCAGTTATGTTAGCTGGCTATGGCAGCTTGGGTAGCTAGCTATGGCTGCTGTAGCTGCAGCAGTGGCGGCTATGGCTGCCAGTCGGTCATTTGTGGTGACTGCCAATCGCTCAGCTACGGTTGCTAGGTATGATAGCTAGCTATGAAAGCTAGCTATCATAGCAGCTAAGCTAGCTACAGGAGTTGTGGCGGCAGTAGGCTAGCAGCTATGGCAGCTGTAGCAGCTGTTTATGCCGTGCCCGACGACAAATTGCTCGTCGCTCAGATCAGATGAATGTAGACTTGATGCAGGCAGATATATTAACGCCTTGCGACGGATCGGATGAAGGAGGGAGTCGTTTTTGCTTAATGCTTTTTCGAAAATGAGAGGGAAGAGAAAAAAGGAGAAAAGGAAGGAAAAAGGGGAAAAGGAGGAGGGAAAAAGGGAAAGGAAGGGAAAAAATGAAAAAGGAAGGGAGACAAGTAAAGAAGTAAATAACATGAAAAAGAAAGAAAAAGGAGGCGTTGAGGCATTGATTGGTTATTGCAGTTCTTGCTTTCTATGCTAAGGGGCATATTGATTGATTGCAGTTCTTTTTTTTGTTGCGTTTTTTCCGTACGCTCAGATCCGATGAATGTAGACTTGATGCAGGCAGATATACCGCCTCACGACGGATCATAATTCTTTGTTGGTGCATTGATTAGAGATGTTCTTTTGTTTAATTAAGGAGGTATTTATGCTTTGCAGTTTTTTTTTTTTTCTTTCACTTCTTTGTCGATGAGATGATGACAGATTTCGTCGTCGTCAATATTAAACCCCCAAAAAACCTAAATGGTCTGCTGCTACAGCGTGAACATGCTTGCTGGTACTGTCTCTCTCTTCAATATCACAACGAATTCAAGGAATTCAGTCCGTTTGCAAAAATTGGTGGTTGGTGTCTATCCGTCTGTTTGCCAAAAAAAATAAAAAAGAGATTTAAAGGAAAACGAAAGAAACAGAAAATGACAAGTAGAAAGAAAAAGAGAAAATGACGAGTAAAAAAAAACAACGAAAATGACAAGTAAAAAGAAAAAGAAAAAATGACAAGTAAAAAGAAAAAGAAAAAATGACAAGTAAAAAGAAAAAGAAAAAATGACAAGTAAAAA